AGACGGAGCAGAAGCTCAGTGGAAAGCCACGCTGGCTTTCACTTATTTATGGCTTGAAAAAAGAGGGTGAAAAGGAGCTGCCCAAGAATTCAGCTCCGCCTTTTTAGAAGCTCAGTTAAGCAGCAAATTAAAGGCTTCTCCTCTGCGACCTGGCCGGCTCCGAGCGCCTGAAGAAGTCCGACGTCGCCGGCCTCAGCTTCCCGGGAGCTCCCTAGGGCTCCCTAAGGGGAGAGGGGGGTTAGGATGGTGGTGGGCCGTCTCTGAGGTGTCCGGGGACGCGCAGAAGGAAGCCATCGAGATCAACAAGCTNNGGGGGGGGGGGGGGGCACTGAGCGCAGCCTGTTTGCATGAGGTCACTGACAGCTTTGGGCGATGCGGCTTGCCTCGTCAATGACAAGTCAAGTCTGTCTTGGCTTCCTGTTTCTTTGCTCAGGTCATGGAGTCCTTGGTGAAAGGCCTCGCCTGGGGAAAGTGAATTTGGAAGTGGGGGAAGACCGGCATTGGCCTCCGCGAAGAGGTGCTGCACACGTGCCCTACAAGAACCACAAGCTCACCCAAGTGATGCCACAGCCACAGTGTTCACACAGCGAAGCCTCAAACAATAGTCTTTCACCAGATCTCAGCCGTGGAGTTACGGGAGTTTACGGCTAGGGGAAGTTTATGGCCTGGCGCATGCGGCGGCGTGGCGCCGCCTTGAGGTCGGATGCCTTGGGCGGGACGTCGCTGACTTAGCTCGCGGCTGCTTGGAACGCCCTTCCAGAAATGGAAGTGTCTGAGAGGTCGAAGACCCTGATGTTCGTCAACTGCTCGCCGGCAAGCTCCAACTACGAGGCCGCTTTCCTTCCTCACCAGACGTGGACGCCTGGGGGAGAGGGGATGAGGGGATGGACTGAGGAGACGGTGATGACGTTGAAGTTTGCAACCCGAGCTGGGCCCCGAGGATCTCTTGTGAAGGCCTCCGAGAGTGCCCATAGTGCTCCCAGTAGCCTTTTGTGTCCATAAGGCGAAGACGATTACGAACGATGTGAAGCGGAAGATGGTCGCAAAGGCGTTCAGATCTCAGCTGGGAAGATCCCCTTTGTATCTCGTGTGGACTCGTCAGCCGAGGAAACCTATGCCAAAGGCATAGCTTTGCTTTTGGCAGACCTGCTGCGTCTGCCAAAGGCAAGTGCAAAGCCCCCGGAGAACGACGGCTGAGTGCACACAGCCTTCCCGAGCTTCAGTCCTTTTAGACAAAACGCAACGCCAGCATCACTCAGCCGATAGACTACGGGACTGGGAAGACTTGTGTCATGCAGCCCGACCATCTCGATGCACCAAGATTAAAAAGCCCTACTGCAAAGCACCGCGGACGTGTCACAGCGATTACGGGCCCCTGATCCTTTGAACCGCAATTTAAAGCTGCACTCGCGCCGACCAGGTAGGCTAGCGCTGTCAGGCACTCTCACTCAGAGTACGGAAGCCCATCAGAAAATGCATGAAAACAGTAACAGGACTGGATTGAGCTCGTGGTGCAGCTTCAATTTCCAGAGTGATCAGTCGAACCAACATGGTGGGGGCTGACGCGGATGGCGCCCAAAGCAAAGGGTTCTGCTAAAGCGGCGTCCCACCGGGCGGAAAGGCTTTTGCGGGCACAAGCGTTCGTTGTCAATGTAGAATCTCCATGGAAATTGCCAGTTGCCAGGCGATCGGTGAGCCCCAATCCGACCAAGCCATCGCCCAAAGCCAAGGGTCGTGCTTCCTCCGAAGCGCCTGGCAGGCCCGGAGAGAAGGAGGGAGAGAGAAGCAGCCCCCTCTACAGCGGTGTGTCGTCTTGGATTCGAAGGCCGACAGGCGATGCCGACGAACCCGGTCCCAAGATCCTGGAGGCGTGAGGGTTGCCCACCTATGTGTCATTCTTCGTAGATTGTGAGCATTTCTTGTCCCTGAGGCCGAGCTTGTGCCTGCCTGGCGGAACAAGACGGTCCAAGGCTACTTTTGAGACACCCCTGTTGTGACACTTCTCCCCAAGAATCCTTCTCTCTCCGCTCTCCTCTGCTCTCCGGTTTTCCGAGAGGCCTCTTCTGCGATCCTTACATCGAGAACACGAACTTGGAAGGCGGCCGCTCTTCCCAGGCTCGGGCTCGGAACCCCTTCCTTGGCCTTAGAGGCCCCCACAAAGACCCTGGAAGTTACCCCCCTGATTTTGCGGTGTTTTTGTCTGAGGCGCTGAGCCGGGAGCTCAGGGGACGGGAAGCTGCGAAGCGGAAGAAGACACCTCGCGCAAGACTTGTTCACCCGAGTTGCTGCGCTGCTGTTTAAGGTGATGTTATTGAGATTGGGACAGAGCTGTTGCGATCGGCGCCCATCTCAATGAGCAGCACTGACATCCAGGCTCTCCGTGGGAGGCTCAGCACGACACCGACCATGTCCGCTCCAGTGCTGCGAAGCCCAAACGTCAGGTGCGGCTCTCAAGCAGTTGGGAGCCGCTGCCGATCGCAGCAACGCCGGCCACGATGCCTTCGAAGCCCAGGCCGGACTCTGTGCAGGCAGCAAGAAAGGAGACAGGTGGCAGCATGGCACCTTTCTTGTTCTTTTTCTCACCATTGAAGACGTGGTGAGGACGGAATGCGCTGGTGCCAACAGATGCAGTGGCCAGACTGCAGTTCTCAGTCTTGTAATTGAGGGTTCGGGAGGGTTCGGGCAGTCTTCGAGTCTTGCTCCGGACATCGGCTTCAAGCAAAAGTCCATGCCTTGCGCGTTTCGGATCACAGCCGTGATAGATCTCGAAGCATCTTCGCACTGCGACAGGAAGGAGATCTATGCACTGCGCGTCGATGAGACCTGGCTCGTGGAAGGGGGTTGGCGTGGAGAACACGGCAGCCATGCCATCATGCGCCTCGGAATTCGTCAGGTGATTCACAGACCTTCAGCTCGTTGATGACAGGGGCGAAGCTCACGAAGCTCGGGCCCACCCAAAGCCCAAAGCTAGTAGGCAGCCATCCTGCCGTGAAGAGCCCTCCAATTGCTGTGCCCAGGGTCTCACACTACCTCCTTTCTTTGCATTCGACCTTGCAGACCTGAGTTGCATTGCGTTTTGTGCATCAAGAACGGGTGATCAGGTACATGATCCAACGAATGTCGGACAGTGATTCAGCAGCACTCTGGCAGCTGCAATTCGACGGTTACACAGCTACCACAGGATCTGGTGCCTGAGGTGAATTTGCCTTCTCTGTGCTCAATACCGGTGCGGGGATCCACCAATTTCAGGTCTGCGACCCCTCCATGATGGGGATAGGAAAGGCCCGCTACAGGACGAGGCCAGGGATGATGCAGTGCAGGAGTGCTCTGACAAGCATGCTCACTGGCAGAGTCATCTGCAAAGCTGGCTTGCGTGCTTCTGGTGTGGTGCTCCTTTGAGGATGTAGGGATTCTGGTTGTTCTGCGACGAAGCCTATTCGGGAAAATATGCGAAGTTTGGTAGTGGCACGGCCAGGCTCTGTCTCGCTCCGATCAAGAAGGAGCCTTGGGGGCGTTTTCTGGGGGCAGAAAAGCGAAGCAGCTCAGACCAGGGGTACTCGGCCCGCTAGTCCCAAGAGCCCCCGGCGAGGAGCGCCTGGACCTGCCGTTCCTTTACGCCTTGCCGCTCGCCCTTGCTATAGAGTGTGCCTCCGAAGTGCCGACCTCCCTCTTGTCCAGCTTTAGCTGCAGGTTCAGGACCTACTTCGTGCGCCACCGCTGTCACAGCTGTGCCCAGCTCTACGAAGTGCTCCTTCCCCTGCTGGAAGCCGAAGCTTGGTGGAGTCGGAGGGTTCTTTCTGAGAGCTTCTGGGATGCTCATTTCTGGAAGCGGCTCTTTGAGACTCTCAGGACGAGAGCGTGGATGCCTGGCCGAGCACCCCACAGCGTGCGGGCACCTGTTCCTCGGGCGCATGGCTGAAAGTTCTCAACTCCGTCAGCGGCCAAGCGCGTGTGCCTGGATAACAGAAGAAAACTCCCAGGCTATGCGAAGTGCATCTTCCTGACGCTGCGCGTTCTGCTTGGGCATTTTGGTCTCGGCAAGGATGCTCTGAAGAAGTGGATGCTGAACTTCCGCATCGGCTACTTGGAGAAGATGGTTTCGGACTTGCAGCAGTCCTGCCACAAGCTGACCATCAGCGATCGGATCATTCTGACCCGGCCCCAGTGTTCTTCCGGAGAGGCTCATCCTCTTCTTCATCTCTTGCTACCAACGTCGTGTCACTTAGGACCGTGGCCTTGAAGCAAGTCGCTCGCCGCTGCGCACGCGAGGCCTACGCTGTGCCGGCAAGGGGCCGAGTCCACGTGTGCTTACAGAAGATCTGGTTGGCGGCGCCGCCCATGCCCTGGCTTGGCTACTTCGCTGCCAAGATGGAGGCAAAGGAGCCAGCCCTGCAGCTCCCCAAAACCTCCAGCTCTGGCCTTGGATTTCAAGGTTTCCAGCTCCTGGTGGCAAGTGCTTTGATCCCTCCGGAAGTGCGGAACGCCTTTGCCGGGCCTTCTGCGACGAAGTCCACGAACCCGCACGTGGACCTCACCGGCATCGCCTCGGCGAGCGCCTCCGGCCCAAGCCTCGAGGCCGTGCTCCAGGCGGCCTTGATGTGCGCTCCTTGCCAGAAATATCCACACAATATATATATATATATATAGATAGATAGAGAGAGAGAGAGAGAGAGAGAGAGAGAGAGAGAGAGAGAGATCTATACACACACACACACACACTCGATCCTTCATGCCTCGCCCCTTCCCATATGATCGTGTTCTGAAGGATCGGCTGGAGGAGGTCCTGGGCTGCTCTCTCCACTCGAAGCAGCTGATTTTGGGCGTCGTGGAGTCCCTGGTCTTCTGGGAGGGGCAGAGCCTCTGGCAGAAGGATCTCGGCCAGCTCAAGCTTGCACAGGGCCGAGAGGCAAGAGAAACAGAGAGCTCTTCTTCTTCTTCTTCTTATTCTTCTTCTTCTTAGACTCTTCTTGCACTCCTCTATTTTCCTGGGAAAATCGACTTGCTGTTTGTTCTCTCTCTCTCTCTGTCTCTGTCTTGCACCAGGTACTGGCCGCCATCCATCGTCTCGGAGCCCACTACTTGGCGGGCGCTCGCTCGAGCTTCTTGGGCCGCTGTTGGTCCTCGCGAGCTTGCTGGAGCTCTTCGAGCGGGTTCTGATGGCCACCGCAAGCTCCAAACTCGCGGAGGCTGTGAGTCAGGACGGACGGGCGCTTTGGGCTTTGCGGCCCTGGCAGAAGGATGGCCGCCCACCAAGTTTTGCAGATCTCACTGCCTGGATGCCCATGACCAGCCCTGCCATGCTGGAGGTTCGGGATCGGCTTTGCCGGCACCAGAGCGCCGCCGGCTCTGAAAGCTTGCTCCGCATGGAGGATCCCTCGCTCCTCCTCTTCGGGCCCCCGGAACACCAGGGCAGCGAGCTCTCCTCTGCGGAGGCCGTCGGCTGCGGCAAGGCCCCCCCCCGCCTAAAAATGCTCGTCCGAGTTTTCCTTGCAGCCTATATACAAGTAGAAGAGGGTAATAAATGCGCGTCCGTTGATGTTGAAGAGAGTCCACAGCTCGTGCTTTGCGGGAGGCCTTTGCCGAGCTGGTGAGCAAGCTCGTGTCTGTTGTCGGCTTGAAGGGCCAATCGCCCACACTGCCAGCGGTGGAGCGGCCTTACCAGGACTGGGAGGTCCAAGTGGCCTGGGCCTTCGATCCGAACTTGGAAGCCGCTTGTCCGGAATGGGCTCAGGCCCGAGACTTGATCATCTTCTTCCAGATGCTCTTGTCCAGCGTCCCGGCCCTGTCCCAGTCACTCGAGGGACAGGGCGTGGCACCGGCCGGGGATGCAGCGCTCTCTGCGAGCAGCATGGCAGAGTGTGGCTTCAGCCTTAGTCTCTTCAACCCACCCAGCAAGCTCACGGTGAAGGTGCTCCACATCTGCACCATTGCCTCGCGACATGCCAACTTCCTCTACACGCAACCCTCCCTGGCCCACCCGAAGGTGCTTTGCCCCTCCCTGCCCTACCTTCGCTTCGGCGGCTCCCTGGAAAACGAGATCGCTTCAACGCCACATCTCCCGGACTTCGACTTCTCCCTGACGCAAGCACAAGCAGAGACCTTGCTGATGATCCTGAACTGCCCTGGGCCCCTTGGCTTAAGCCCTGTGCAAGCCCAGGGCTGGAGCTCCCCAGAAAAAAATGCTCTTCCAGGCTCCGCATCCCGATGCTTCTCCAGTTCGTGGTCCCGAATCATGTGGCCCTCCTCCACCACCGGCAGTTCCAGAGGATCTTCTTCGCCTGCCTCTTCGAGCCCGGCCCCTTTCCCAAGGAGCCTCGGGAAGAGAAAACAGCTCGGCCTCCCAGGGTCCAAAGCCTGCGAGAGGCCGGGCGCTGCTGTTTGGCATAATACGCCGCGCGTGTTTTGGGAGTTTCTTCTTCTTGAGGCTTAAAACAAGAAGAGAGACTGAGAGAAAGCGTCGGCCGTTGCAGAGAGAGAAGACGGGGAAGAGCGCGCTGCCTCCTCCGACTCGCAGGCCAAGGTGCCCTGTTTGGAGCCCATGGCGATCGAGTTCGGGTGGCTGAGCACTGAGATGGCCACTTGACACAATGTAGGCCCTAGCTTTGGGGGGATAGCGTTCAGGGATGCCATCATCGGCTTTGGTCGAACCTTCGATTTCGTGAGGCCACGAGACCGCAGCTGCTACTGCCCTTCCTGCACCAACTCTTCGATGCAGTGAAGGACTTGGGACACATGTCCGAGCCCATGCTGTTTGTTTCGTTGTTTCTGGCAGAGCTTGCAGATCCATTCTGCCACTGCCCGAAGTTCGTTGCAGATGCCTGTCGGTTCGCTCGCCTTCGCGGCGTGGTTGTTCTGTCCTCAACCCGCTGCTTATCCAAGGAAGCGGCAACTCGGATGGCCCTTTGGTGCAACCCTTCCTCTTCGTTCTCCGGGTGGCGGTGCTAGTCCAGGACCTCTGCACCCTGAGTAACTGAAGGCTTGGTTTTTTGTCAGTTACATGAGCTTGCTGTTGT